TAATCCCAGCACTTTGGGAGGCTAAGATGGGTGGATCATCTGAGGTCAGGAGTTCGAGACCAGTGTGACTCAAGGAGAAACAACATGAAGAAATCCCTGAAGAAGGAAATTAAATAATAATGGTAGCCTGTAATTGCTACATAATAAAAGATTACTCTGTTGTGTTCAATATAAAACCTAACCCCTAGCTCTGCTTTAAATTAACTAACTCCCTACAAAGTCTACCTTATCTACTCTCCCTACTTTCTCAGCAAAGTTCCCAGGCATCTCAAGACTCCTGTTTTTCTTGCAGACCAGCTGCAAGGTCACAGGGTAATATAACACCCGAAGAATGTGCCATGTGTTTCTCAAAATGCGATTTTCAAATGTAACATACAATACAAGACATGTCACAAGTTAACTGTTCTTTCCTCTGGCTTCTGTAAACCTGTTAGTTGCTATGTCATCCTTGGCTGTATAACAAATCAAGCCCTGTCTTTGTTAGGCTCTCAGCCTTGGGATGCAAATCTGCCGAGCTGGTGGCCACCTTAATAAAATCCTCCTGTTTCACCCACTGGTCTCTCCGGGCTCCTGAATATTATGTAACATCCCATCTCTACTAAAAATAGAAAATTAACCGGGTGTGGTGGCACATGCCTGTAATCCCAGCTACTCAGGAGGTTGAGGCAGGAGAACTGCTTGAACCCAGGAGGCGGAGGTTGCGGTGAGCCAAGATCATGCCATTGCACATTGTTGCCTAGGCAGCAAAAGTAAAACTCCATCTCTCTCTCTCTCTCTCTCTCGCTCTCTCTCACACACACACACACACACACACACACACACACACACACACACAGAAAACAGTTTACAGATTGATGACAGTAGTGATTAAGAGAACTTTAGCTTCTGCAAATTTCAAATGACATTCATTTTCTGTCAAATCCTTTACTAAAATGGCTACTAGCAATATCGCCATGACAACTCAGTTTATACTACTGGCAAACTGGTAACTTAGCAGCCATTTGAACAGCAACCAACCATCACTAGTCTCTTCTTGGTTACAATAAGCCTCATTTCAATTGTAAATATACACTGTGTTAATTCTGAATGAAAGTCTTTAAAATCATTTTGGGGTACATTGTAGTTGTACATATTTATGGGGTATATAAAATTATTTGATACAGGCCTATAATGTGTCATAATCACAGCAGGGCAAATGGAAAATCCATCGCACCTCAAGCATGTATCCTTTTATTTAATTTTTTTTTTTTTTTTTTACAAATAATTCAACTACACTCTTTTAGTCACTGTAAAATATACAATAATTCTTGACTGCTGTCACCCTGTTGTGCTATCAAATACTAGATGTTATTTATTCTTTCTAACCAGATGTGTGCACCTATTGACCATCACCCCTTACTCCTCTCATCCTCCATACTACTTTTGCCAGCAGGTGCAAACAATTCTCCTACTCTATACCTTCATGAGTTAAATTGTTTTAATTTTTAGTTCCCACAAATCAGTGAGAATAGGTGAATTTTGTCTTTTTGTGTCTGGCTTATTTCACTTTTAACATTTCCATCCATGTTGTTGCAGATAACAGGATCTCATTCTCCTTTATGGTTGAATAATGCTCTGTTGTGTATATGAACCATTTTCTTTAGCCACTCATCTGTTGATGAATACTCAGAATGCTTCCAAATCTTGGCTGTTGTGAATAGTGCTGCAACATACATGAGAGTGCAGGTATCTCTCTGATATGCTGCTTTCCTTTCTTTTGCGTTTATGCCCAGCAGTGAGACTTCTGGATCATATGGCGGCTCTATTTTTAGTTCTGAGGACCACTGAACTGTTCTCCGTTGTGACTGTATTTAAATTACATTCCCACTGACAGCGTAAAAGGGTTACCTTTGCTCTATATCCTCGCCAGCACTTGTTATTGCCTGTTTTTACAACAAGAGTCATTTTAAGTGCGGTGAGATGATCTCTCATTGTACTTTTGATTTGCATTTCTCTGAACATCAACGATATTGATGTTGAGTATCTTTTCATATACCTGTTTGCCATTGGTATGCCTTTCTTAAGGAGTTTTCAAACAGGTCTCACTTTGTCAATCAGGTTGGAGTGCAGTGGCAGAATCATAGCTCACTGCAGCCTTGGCCTCCCAGGCTCAGGTAATTTTCACATCTAAGCCTCCTAACCAGCTGAAATTACAGGCACATGCCACCAAGCCTGCCTAATGTGTCCTCTTTTCAGAAATGTCTATTCAGATACTTTGCCCATTTTAAAAATCAGATTGTTATTTTTATTTCTATGGAGTTATTTGAGCTCCTTAGTATTCTGGTAATTAATCCCTTGTCAGATCGTTTTCAAATACCTTCCCCCATTCTGTGGGTTGTCACTTCACTTTGCTCACTGTTTCCTTTGTTGTGCAGAAGCTTTTTAACTTGATGTGACCTAACTTGCCCATTTTCGCTTTGGTTTCCTGTGCTTATAAAACATTATGCAAAAAATATTTGCCCAGTCCAATATCATGGAGAGTTTTCCCACTGTTTTATTTTAGTTTCGTATTTGAGGTCTTAGATTTAGATCTATTTTTAGTTTTTTAAAAGACAGAGATACTGCATTGCCCAGAGAGTCTCGAATTCCTGAGCTTAAGCCATTCTCCCATCTTGGCCTCTGAAAGTGCTGGGATTACAAGTGTGAGCCACCACGCCCAGCTTAGACTTACATCTTTAATCCATTTTGATTTGATGATTGTATAAGGTAAGAAATAGAGGCCTGGTTTCATTCTTCTGCATGTGGATATTCAGTTTTCCCAGCACCCCTTAATAACGATCATTACCCCATTGCATGTGCTTGGCACCTTCATAGAGAATGAGTTCACTGCAGATGAATGAATTGGTTTCTGGGTTTCTGTTCTGTTCCATTGGGCTACGTGTCCGTTTTTAATCACAGTGCCATGCTGTTCTGGTTACTATGGGTGTAGAGGGTAATTTGAAATTAGATAATGTAATTCCCCCAGCTTTGTTTTGGCTCAGGTTAGCTTTGGATATTCTGAGACTTTTGTAGTTGCCTATATATTTTAGGATTCATTTTTTTATTTCCATTTCTGTGAAGAACGTTATTGCTTTTTGCAGAATTGTGGAGGTTCCACATTGGTGGTCTGAGATCAGACCTGAAGGAATTCTCTAGATTAATAGACAGAGACTCGCTTCTTCACTTACTTTTTCACAAATGAAGTCTGTCTCTCTGTGCTAAGCTGCCTGGAGCTGGGAGAGGAGTGATACAAGCACCCCTGTGGCCATGACCTCTGGGACAGCACTAAGTCTGTCCAGATGGCACTAGGAGTTGCAGTCCTTGTGACCTAGACAGACTTTCAGGTTGATTAAGGGCTCCAGACTCTTTTATCCCATAGCAGCCAGGCTTTCACCACTCAAGTTCCAACCACGGGGATGAATAACTCCCCTATGGTTGGGGCTAGTCTAAGTGTTTTTTCTGTGGGTGGGCTTTGGGTGGATTCAGCTTTGTTTTGCGTTCTGCTATGACGAGGCGGCACTGAGTTAAGGCAAAGTCCCACAGCTGCTGTGCTCTCCCTTCCCAAGGCATGTAGCCTCTCTCCTTGCCACAGGTTCACAGTGGTGGCATCAACAATTCAAGACTGTCTTTTCTATGCTGTTCAGTGCCTCTTTCACTGATACGACATTAAAACCACGTCATATGAACATTTAAATGATTTTCAGTTCTTATGGAGGTGCTTTTTTATTTCGATAGTTGCTAAAGTTGTTATTCCTGTGGGGAGCACAATTGGCAGAGACTTCTATTTGAGACTGCATACATCCTGAATCACAGTCTTATCTGGAGAAATAGGCAAATGTAAAAACAAAGAATCAAACAAAAAAATAAAAAATAAAATAAAAAACAAAAACCTCTTGCCACTTCCTGAGGATCTTCATCTTCATATGCTTCATATGCTTCTATGTCATCAAGAGGTGTTCCTTCAGATTTTCCTAAGTGTCACCCACAAAGCCATTCTCACTGTCTAGTGGACACTGTGAGAACCTGTGCTGGAAATGCCTCCCTGGCTCACCCTACCAACCAGCTCCAAGACCCTTCCCTTTACAGCAGTCACGAGTCCAGACTGATAGACCCATGAAGCTCCTGTTTCAGTGTCATGTTACTGTCTATGAGCAACCCCATGATTCAGCAAGATTTCTTGCATTCTCATAGATACCTTGGGGCCCTCCAAGTGCTGCTGTGGTTGCATTAATGCCCCGGGAATCTACTGAGTGTGGTGAGCATTGGGTGATGCCCAAAAAATGTTTCTCAGACTGCCTGAGGGGAACACTAACTCATCAGCCCAGTGATGCAACACTCCTAATGGGGAGAGGACAGGGGCACAGGGAACTGTGGCTATTCTGTATCTCAAGGTTTCTATAAAATGGGTCTTCAGAGAAAAGTGGGAGGACAGCAACAAATGCAAATACACAATGTATGGCTCAGGGTGAAGCTATACTTCACAATGCAGAGGCCCCAGACCTGTCAATGGGCAAACAATTATTTCAAAGGCCAGAGAGGCGCTCCTCACAAAGAGACTAGAACTTGCAGGCAGCTTGTAAAAGCCGTAAGCAAATTGACTGTACTATTATGTTTCTCATTGTACACTGGTAAGATATTTGCCAAAAACATTCACCAGAAAAATACTTTTCCATTTATGAGATCATTACAATGGCAATTTACCAAGACCTACCAATGAATAGTGAAAAATATGAACTGTTCTTCTAAAGCTGGGGAGAAAGAGTATGTGGTATTTATGCCCATTCTTATTATCTGCATAATGTAATCTTTAAAAGTATTTCTCAAAGTGTTTAAGTTTATGGGAGCAAATAAAGTATTCAAGAATGGTTAAAAAGTTCAAAAAAACTGTACAAACTCACATATGGTCAACTGTAATTTTCTCAAAGTGCTTGCATAAGTCTTTATTGCACACAGCCACATTGCTCCCAAACTTGATGGCAAGAAGAATGGCTCCGAAGATAATCCTCTTCCAGTTGGATGGACAAATGTTGATATTAGCACACTTTACAAGTCTTTTTACGTATACCTGGAAAACAGAGCACTGGCCTTTGATTTAGCTCAGTTTAAGTGCTATGATAAGAACTCCTATGAAAAACCAGAATAATTCTGGTTTTGACCAGAAAGTAGATGCCTTTTATTCTTATGTTCTACAGAGACTTTGTTTCATCAGGTTAAATAAGGGGCCATATCACAATCAGAGCCCAAATATTTCTGCTACCTACTCTGCCCAGCAGGGGTAATTAACACATCCAAGGAAGAATGAAGTGAGGGCAGTAGCTCTCAATCACAACATACATGAGAACTGCCTGGGGATACACCCTGAGACTCAGCTTAGACCTACAATGGCACGCATTGCTGCCCATAAACCAGATGGTCTTGTTACTGCTCTTCATTCCAAGCCCTTCACATGCCCTGGATGTGTGCGCACTGCGTGTGCATGTGTGCACTGAAGTGTGGGGGGAGAAATCAGAAATCCCTCCAGCTGCCTTTAATAGCAATTGTTCTGTAATGAGAAATGCAAAGCAACATTTAAGCCATAATGATGATTCAACTCAAATGTGTGTATTTGCTTTCATAAGTTTCTCTTAAAGTTCTGAGATAATTTCAGAAACCTACTTTCATTTAAAATCAGGAACATACTACCCTGTTTACAAGATCAATTTCTTTTCTTTTCTTTTTTTTTTTTTGAAATAGAGTCCTGCTCTGTTGCCTAGGCTGAAGTACACTGGCTTGATCTCGGGTCACTGCTTCAAGCAATTCTCCTGCCTCAGACACCTGAGTGGCTGGGACTACAGGGGTGTGCCACCATGCCTGGCTAATTTTTGTATTTTAGGTAGAGACAGGGTTTAACCACATTGGCCAGGCCACTCTATAAGACCAATTTCTAAAGATGCTTTATAAATAGAAAATATCTTACCAAACTTATGATTGCTAAGTCAGCATCTAGCCTTTTGATACAAAACAGAGTAAGCATAAATCTGCAAATCACTTTGTGTGTAGGATCAAACATAAAGTGTTCTTCCAGAACCTGTCCTCGCTGAAAGAAGAAAGGATGCAAAGTAACTATCCTTTGAAGAGAAATCTTGAAGTGCCCTTAAGACAGCAGTGTTCACATTTGTCAACATGTATCATTTACAGTAATTTTGATTGGTGAGATGTCTTTCAGTTTTTACAATAAGAACAGTGGGATCTTCAAATACCATAATGATTTAATACTCATCAACATTCACTTAAAAATCATATGAGCTAAAGTTCAGAAAATTTTGTTCTCTTTCACTCTTTGCCCCACATAATTCTATCCAAATGTAAGCTACTCTTAGGCTTTAATGTCTTACTGATGGTATGTCATTCTCTGTAATAAACTTTGAGAAAATACAGTTTCCTGTAACCACGAGGTTCTAAGCCTATGCTGTTAAATACAATAGTCACTAGCCACATGTGGCTATTATGTACTTGAGGAAGTACATTTTTAAATTTTTATAACATGTAGGTTGATTTAAACTTAAATTATTTTTAACTCTTTATAAAAGTCACGCTTCTGTGTTAAAAGTATTTACATATACTTATATTGCTTGATGCTACTAATAATTGTCTTTTAAAAGATACATTTTCTGTTATTTCGATAGTAGATTTACTCATACTAGTTCACTAATTAAAGAGAGCTGCAGATCAGTTCTTATTCTAATACATTCTTTTTACAACATCTAAGATGATTAAATGCAACACTAAATGGGGAGGATTTAAAGATGGCTTTGACATCAGCATGAAACAAATACAAGTCTATAACAAAAATACAACCTCAATAAAAGTGCCACTTACGTGAAGTGGGAATATACGTTCATCAAATATTTCCAAAGTTCTATTTTCATCTCTACAAAATAAGAATGTGCATTACTTCAAAAACTGTGAATATCGTAGTATAATACCTTTTTAGTATAATAATGTCTCCTATGTGCTTTGGTGTTTACTTCACCAAAGCAAACAGTTTTTACAAATTCTTCTCCTGGATCCTGCCCTGCAGAACCTTTCCCGACCTCTTCTTCCTCAGCACATCATATCCTGTACTGTGAAGTCTTTTCCACAATAACCAGTCAGAGCTGCCTATAGGTATTGACCCTCCCTAACAGGCAATGGCAATAAACCAAACATATTTTCTCTCTTCTTAACCACACATTGAAACACAAGAATGTTTTACAAAGCAGTAGTGGTGGGCAATAAAGTCTTTAGGACTTTAATAAATGTACATGTGATTCTGATTTCCTAGCTTCCTTGCTTTTTAGTCCTCTGTAGTATACTTTCATGATGAATTTATTTATTTTCTGTTGTTTGAATTAAAAACTCATCTGCCCTTTTATTTTAAAAGAGGCTAGTCTTTGATTAACTTTAAATTTTGTAAAACTAATGCATTGTGCCTGTGTGATAAACCAGTGGTTCTCCCAATGTGGTCTGTGGAACTCTGGGGATCCCGAAGACCCTTTCTGAGAAAGCCTAAGAGGTCAACACTGTTTTGTTTTGTTTTTCTTTGTTTTGTTTTGTTTGTTTTTGTTTTTCTGAGATGGAGTTCCAATCTTGTTGCACAGGCTGGAGTGCAATGGTGGGATCTCGGTTCACTGCAACCTTCATCTCCCAGGTTCAGGTGATTCTCCTGCCTCAGCCTCCCGAGTAGCTGGGATTATGGGCGCCTACCATCATGCTCAGCTAACTTTTTCATTTTTAGTAGAAATGGGGTTTCACCATGCTGGCAAGGCTGGTCTTGAACTCCTGACCTCTGGTGATCCATCTGCTTGGCCTCTCAAATTGCTGGGATTACAGGCCTGAGCCACCGTGTCTGCTGGACACTGTTCTGAAAATCATACTAATTCAACCTCAGAAAGTTGATACAAATTTTTTTTTTTAATTAGGAAAGTAATACAAAGACACTGACTACTTTTTCATAGACACTTGCCATAACTGTATAAAAGCAAAAGTGTATAAAGCTGTTGGTTTCTCAGCCTAAATCAAGGCAGTGGTACCAATTACGCTGGTAGTAATTCTGTTCTTTATTGTCCCTTACAGTTAAAAAGCAGTCTAAAGTAATTAAGAATGTCTTTGTTGAGGTGGTAAAAATTAATGGTGTTACTAAATCTTGACATGTCTCTTTAATATTCTGAATCAGTAGAAAGCTAAGAAGAAGCACTTCTGCTGACTGCAGTATGGTTGTGCTTAAAAAAATTCATGATTTAATTGTGAGCAGAACAATCACTTTTTTCACAGAACATCATTTTTATTTAAAAGTATTACTGTGCCGGTGCAATTGTTCACACCTCTAAAATCCAAACCCTTTGGGAGACCAAAGCAGGCAGATTGCTTGAGCGCCTTCAGAAGTTCGAGTGTAGCTTGGGAAGCATGGTGAAACTCTGTCTCTACCAAAAATACACAAAAATTAGCCAGACATGGTGCCACACCTCTGTGATCCTAGCTACACAGGAGTCTGAGGTGAGAGAATTGCTTGAGCTGAGATCATGCCAATGTACTACAGCCAAGTGACAGAGTGAGACTCAGTCTAAAAAAAGGACAACTATCATTCTCAAAAATAAATGAACTGAGGTTGTCACTTCAAGGAAAGCACGTGTTCCCAATGATAAAGTAAGCTTTCCTGAGGACTTTGAAAATCTCACTCCTTCTACTGTAGGCTTGACAGCTTTTCAACACTTAAAGACTTTTAAAATAATATTGGTGGTTAAAAGTGATTTTTGACACAATAAAACATAAACCAATTTATTCCAAATAACTAATGCATGACAGTATAAATGCAAGTATGGGGGAAAAGATCCATTTACCATGCAAGACAGATTAGTGAGTACTGACCAAATAAATTTATTAATATGTATAATGCCACTGCAACTAATTTTAAAAAGTAGCACTTGTCAAGTTTTCACTTATTATTAAATATCCACACCATTCAAAGTTTTAAAAATGCACCTTTTACCAACTACATATTTGCATGAGATTAGGTCATGTCATTGCTTCCCTTTTTTGACTGCAGGCATGCATCATCATGCCCAGGTATTTTTTGTATTTTTAGTAGTGATGGGTTTCACCATGGTGGTCAGGCTGGTCTCAACATTATGACCTCAAATCAATCTGTCCACCTTGGCCTCCCCAAAGTGTGGGGATTGCAGGTGCCTCCCACCACACCTGGCCATTTTATTGCTTCTTAAAGCAAATTACAAAAAAAGACCTAGAGAATCCAGCTGTCTTCTATTAAGAGAGACATTCGAGGTTTTTAATAATATAAATACATGACACACTTTTTACTCAACTTTTTGTTGTAGAAAATCTATTTTCTCATTAAAAATTTTATGTTAACAATATTGTTCTCAAGGAGTATTTGCTGTTGTCACCACCTGGGTCATGGGTTACTACTGACATCTACTTGGTATAGGCCACCAGTGCTGCTAAACCTTCTGCAATGCACAGGACAGTCCTTGTGACAAAGTGTTATCTAGATCAAGATATCAACAGTGGTAAGGCTGTGAAATCTAAACTAAAAACAGATTTTGAAAAAAATCTCGTTTATAGTTCTATTACAGTAAATATCAATATTATCAATATAAATACATATTCTTTGAGATTCCCAGTCACTTAAGAATTAAAAGTGTTAAGGACCAAAGAAAACACAAATAATTTGCTTTAAAGAGCTTGATAACTTGCCAAGTAATTAACGAGAATAACAAGACAGTTTTTAAAAAAGCTCACCTTTTCTTGATAAGATAATATATCTCCAAGGCCACACTGTGGAAGGAAAAACATTCATAACAATAGATGTTATCATTTGTTAGGTCTGAAGACATTTTTTTTAAAAGAATGTGGTGGAAACTCTCCTAGTGGCCCTGAAATTAAAACCTTCTAGTTCAGAACAGTACCATAAAGGCACTTTCTTGTTTTCAATTATTGGGTTTTAGCAAAAATATGAGAACAAAAATGCAAGGACATACAATACACTATTAGAAAACGTGTTTCTGTAGATGATTACAATATATAAATAATAACATATTTCCCTGTTATATGTTCTTCTACCCACAAAACCTTTCATCACATGGAGGACACATGTATTTGCAGATATGTATTTTGAAGACAAACTTTGCAAAAGTGATCCCAATGAGTTCCACCTATCCCACTGATAATAGTGCACTACTAACTTGTGATCAACATTTTTCAAAATCTTTTCCTGAAGCCAATTTGCCCTATTAATTTGCCCAATAAACCTCTATTTCACCAAGAGTGAATAAACCAAATGCTCATTTCTCAAACTTGCTGATGGCAAATTAAAACTTACTTTACTTTTGAAAGCAGATTTCTAAAAATTAGAAGAATGAGGAAAAAAGCATGAAATCTGTTTGAACAAGACTATCTTCAAAGCTACTTTGGAATTCTATGCTAACACATAAAAATCGCTTGAATTCAAAAGCAGCCAGGGACTTTAGCCAAAGTAGTTTGCTTGTTGGTTTGTTTTTATGCTTAAAGATTTAAGAGACAGCCAGCTGTGGTGGCTCATGCCTGTAATCCCAGCACTTTTGGAGGCAGAGGTGGGCAGATCACCTGAGGTTTTGAGTTCCAGACCAGCCTGACTAACATGGAGAAACCTTAACACTCAAAAAAAAAAAAAAAAAAAAAAAAAAAAATCAGCTGGGTGCAGTGGTGCATGACTGTGATCTTAGCTACTTGGGAGGCTGAGGCAGAATTGCTTCAAACTGGGAGGTAGAGATTGTGATGAGTCAAGATGGTGCCACTGCACTCCATTCTGGGCAATAAGACAAGAGAAAAACTCCATCTCAAAAAAAAGAAAAAGAAAAAGAAAAAAGATTGAAGAAACTTGGCTGACTACAGACATTTAGTGATTACTCAATAGGTCCCAGAACTCAGTACCTAAGACGTAATTTGATTCCAATTTTTGCTGAAACACAATTTCATCTCAACTATTGTTATAAGGGAGGGAGGAAAGTGACATTATCATGAGTGTAAACCTGCTATCTTTAATTAAAGAAAAAGTTACTGACAGTTGAATTAGTTAAAAAGGCTAGTGCATTCAAAACAAAATTGTTTATGAGCTAGCTAGTTATATTTCTAGAATGAAAAGTAAACTTATATTAAGGACATTAATATTCTAAATTAGCACTTTGTAAACTGTGCTCTAAAAATCAACACTCATAACCAAGGAGATGATAATAATGATCACTGGACAGCCCCTGTGGTGGTGGTGGTGGTGGTTGTTCCTTTTAAAAAATAAACTTCATCTCAGAGTGCTCTCAAAGTGCATCTTTGTGGCCCATGGGGTGCTCATGCACAATGGGAGAAATTCAAATGCAGATACACTGTGATGCCTTAGGAGAAAAAGCTGTTCCTTCTTCTAAGACTAATGTCCAAAGTAGTACACATTGACTTAGGCCTGCAATGCATTGAGAAAGTAATTTTTCACAAAAATACCTTCATTAAAGGGAACCTATCCTTCTTACTGCATTCAACATTCTCTTAAGGCATAAAGGCATCGAATAAACAGTAACACTTTTCCTGAAATTGCTTATTTGCTAAGAGATTTTTCCTTCTACCATGATGTAGAAGATGAAAAGAGAAATTGATACTTAATATTTAGAATCTGATACCAATATATAGTTGACTCCAATTTCTTAAACTGATTGAAGAGGACAACCAAACGGCTGAAATAATTTTAATCTGTCCCTTGGCAGTATAGTCGTACTCACGATTCTATTGTCACTTCAAAATGAGGGGAGCTGGCTGTGCTGTCATCAAGAAAAATTGTCGAGCATGAGCTGAATTTCAAAGAAGAATATTCCGCATATATCTAAAGAGGAAGGGAAAGATAAGGTAAACTTATCAAAGTGTGTTTTTTTTTTTCTCAGTTAAACTGTCAAATGACAAAGCACTAAGATATTTCTTACACTCCATGAACTGCCGGAGTGTGATACCATGTGCACTGTACAGAAAAACCATTGGAGGCTCTTAACTTCCAGAGATGATATTGAGATATGGGTTAGAAAATGCTGCTCTTAATATGCTACCTGTCATCAAACCTAACAAGGATTTTATGAATTCTCTTTATATATAATGACAAAAGTTTAAAATACAATTTCATTGTTTTTTTCTACCAAGATATAAAACAGCTGAGAATTTCTATTAATTTATTACAATAAAATATAATGTGTTAAATAATACTGATACAAGAGAAATTTATTGCAATGAATACAAGACTAATGTATTTACAAACTTACTAATCCCACATGTATTATTTCAGGCAATATTGCAACAAAACAGGGTTTCACATTCAGAGGTTCTGTGTGCCAGGGTTGCTAGGCCACCACCAAGTGAGGAAGCCATAGGTTTCTCTAGTCCTATTTTCTTATGTGGAGGATAAAAAGATTATCACTTAACTGTTCTCTCACACCCTGAAAACAGATAACAACTTTCACTTCATGTAAAGACTACCATGACATGACTCAAATGAAAAATCTCAGAGAATACTTGCCATTCATTTCAAAAGTTGATTAATTTCATTCTATAAATCATCTGACCTGCACCTAGGCATTTTCCTGCTATAATCTTGCTCTCTGCCTAGAAGACTGTTTTTCTCTCTCCTTGTTTCAGCAAGCTTGATTCCATCTACCTTCTTGGATCTTTTTGCCAGCAGCCACACACAAAAAAGTTTTGTTTTTGCTTTTTTGTACACTAATTAATCAAATTCGCCACTGGTTACAAGATACTAATTCTTGCCGAGTATTTCCCTCATGAGAAAGTATGCCTCTCCATAAGAGTAAGGGAGGGCTCTTACTCTTTCTACCTCCAGCTGCTGAGGTAGAAAGCACAGAATTTTGAGTAAATCAAAAACTTCGACAAGTATTTAATGAATTAATTCAGTTATAATTTGGAAAATAGTCTTACTACATTTAATTACACCAAAAACACTCCTAACGGTTTACTGTTTATAGGTATTATTTAAGGTAGTCAACAAAAAAGAAATCATCTAACTGCAGTCAGCATTAATAAAGAGTGTGAAATTTTATGATCTTTAACAAGAAATGAAAGGGGTTACATAGTAGGTTAATAACAAAAACTAGAAGATAATTATACCTGGTAATTTAGTAAGTCAAAACCAAAGGCTTACCATCAAAGGTCCATGTAGAGGTCTTTCACTTCCTTGGTTAGGTCTATTATTAAGTATTTTATTTTATATTTTATTTTTTAACTATTATAAAAGGGGCTGAGTTCTTGGTTCGATTCTCAGCATTCGTGGTTACGGTACAACAGAGTTACTGACTTGTGTACACTAATTTTGTCTCCTGAAACTTTGTTAAATTCATTTATCAGTTTCTTGGAGCTTTCTGGTGGAGTCTTTGGGGTTTTCTAAGTATAAAATCGTATCATCAGCAAACAGTGACAGTTTGACTTCCTATTTACTGATCTGGATGCCCTTTATTTCTTTCTCTTCTGTGATTGCTCTGGCTAGGTCTTCCAGTACTATGCTGAATAAAAGTAGTGAGACTGGGGCATCCTTGCCTTGTTCTAGTTCTCAAGGGGAATGCTTTCAACTTTTCCCTCTTCAGTATTATGTTGGCTGTGGGTTTGTCATAGATGGCTTTTATTACATTGAGGTATGACCTTTGTATGACAATTTTGCTGAGGGTTTTCATCATAAAAGGATGCTGGGTTTTGTCAAATGCTTTTTCTGTGTCTATTGAGATGATCATGTGATTTTTGTTTCAAGTTCTGTTTATGTGGTGTAGCACATTTATTGACCTGTGTATGTTCAACCATCCCTGGATCCCTGGTATGAAACCCATTTCATTACAGTGGATTATCTTTTTGATATGCTGTTGGGAACCACAAAACACTGCTGAATGAAATGATGGACACAAACAAAAGGAAGGACATCTCCTGCTCATGAATGGGTAATATGAATATTGTAAAAATGACCATACTGTCAAAAGCAATCTACAAATTCAATGAAATTCCCATCAAAATACCATCATCCTTCTTCACAAAACCAGAACAAAATAATAATTAAACTGATATGGGACCAAACAAGACTCCACATAGCAAAATCAAAATTAAGCAAAAACAACAAATCTGGAGGCATCAATCACATTCCCTAATTTCAAACTCTACCATAAAGCCATAGTTACCAAAACGGCATGAAACTGGTATAAACAGAGGCACATACACCAATGGAACAGAAGAAAGAACCCAGAAATAAACCCAAATATTTATAGCCAAATGATCTTCAAGAAAGCCAACTAAAATATAAAGTGAAGAAAGCAAATCCTATTCAACAAATGATGCTGGGATAATTGGCAAGCCACATGCAGGAGAATGAAACTGGATCCTCAACTATCACCATACACAAAAATCAACTCAAGATGGATCAAGCACATAAATCTGTGCCTGAAACCATAAAAATTCTAGAAGACAACCTTGGAAAAACCCTTCTAGACACTGGCTTAGGCAAAGACTTCATGACCAAGAACCCAAAAGCAAATGCAACAAAAACAAACAGGTAAGACATAACTGAAGAGCTTCTGCACAGGGAAAGGAACAATCGGCAGAGTAAACAGACAACCCACAGAGTGGGAAAACGTCTTCACACTCTGTATATCTGACAAAGGGCTATTACCCAGAATCTACAAGGAACTCAAACAAATTACAATTTACAAATTTCAATTACAAAAATACGGAAACAGCATAAATGCCCACCAGTCAATAAGGGGATAAAAAATTGTGATATATATGTATATATTTTATATACATACATATATATGTATATATATGTATGTATATAAAATATTGGAATGCCACTCAGTTACAATAAGGAATAAATTAACGGCATTCCCAGGAGCCTCGATGGAATTGGAGACTGTTATTCTAAGTGAAGTTAGTCAGGCATGGAAAACTAAACATTGTGTATTCCCATTCATACATAGGAGCTAAGCTACCAGGATGCAAAGGCATAAGAATGATACAATGAACCCTGGGGGCTCAGGGGCAAGTGTTGGAAAAGGG